TCAACCTTGAGCAGGACATCTGGGATTTAACCTGGATCATGAGTACAGATTTGGCTGCAGTACTGCAATTTCACCACTGTGCCACAAGGCTCCTGATGAAAATGTTTCTAGAGTCCAAAGAAGTGTGCCAATAGCTTTAATTCACTTTAATTTCTGACTATTGCCTGTTAATCTTCTTTGACGTTGTATGCATGTAGAAAAGTAGTACTTCTGTTTTTATGTAATATACAATGGAGCGATGTTTTGTTTCCATGTCTGTGAAATTGCTCTGGATGTAATAGAGTACATACTAAGAATTAATAAACAAAAATTCCGTTCTCAAAACAGAAATGTAGGACTGTGAGGCAATTGTGGCAAAACTATATTTTTTGAAAAAAAAGTTTGTAAAAATTTATTTTAAGAAAAATATTTCTTTGCATTAGTTTCCAGACTACTAGTTTGTATGTTTTATGTTCATATACTTGTTTGCTTTTCAGTGCCTCTATTTCTGTGTAACACTGCTGAGAAAAAACAGTGAGCAGTTTTACATAAGGCTCCAGAATTGAGTAAAGGGAGAGAATGGGGTTGCACTCATTCATCATGCTTCTGCAGATCTGACGCAGTGTTGAAATGCAGTGTGTGTGCATAGTCTTGATCTACTCATTACATTGTTAAAATTTGGCATTAATCACCCTAACTCTTAGGTTCAAACAGAACAGACTTGGTATCTTTAGGTCTAGTTCTGCACTAAATTCAATGTGTAAATATGAGTCAAGAAGACTAGCAATGGTAGTGGGACATGGATGCTCTTCTGGTGGGTTGGAATGCTCATGCTTCCTCGCAGTTAGTTAGAAGCCATATTATTTGTTGTGACTACCATGAAATAAATTAGCAGTGATTTTGTTTTGTTTTATTTCCTTGCCTATATGTGCTAGCAGCTGTCCATCAGAATGGCCTATCCATGAACCAGATGTTGATGGGTTTATCACCAAACGTCTTACCTGGTCCAAAAGAAGGTGATCTTGCTGGCCATGACAGTGGGCATGATTCAAAAAGAATCCACATGGAGAAAGGTAGAATTTTTTCTCAAATTGTTGCTTTATTGCCTAAAAGAAATATTGCAGTCCAGACTTTAGTAAATAGTATTCTGTTCTTTGCATTAATTCTCTTATTGATGGTGCACAAAGGCAGTCATGATTTGGTGGTGGTGGGGGGAGAGATATGAAAGCATTACCGTATTGTCTCCTTGGAAAGGTAAAATATACACCACCGGAAAGCGTTTCTCTGAATCTTGAAGTATGTTCAAGAGTAACATGTTTTATTTGACATAAATGTTAATCTGATGAAAGCTTATACCATGTCAAAAATGTTAGTTTTTAAGGTGTCACAAGACTGTTATAAATTCTTACGTTTGTTGCTATAAATGCTCATGTAGTTCAAAAATTACTTTAATTGTGGGGAAATTGAATTGTAGAAATTATTTAAGGTTGCTAGAAGAGGAAGAAAAACATTAGATGTCTGTTCTTTACAAATGTTTTATTAGATTTTTAAAATGTGTGTCTGCAGTTATTCAAAGAAACAGTCACTTAAAGTCAACCATTATGAGAGAACTGTTGATGGCCATGTGTAGGAAAGGAAGAGAGGCTAAATTACTTAGCTCTTAGAACTCTTAATAGTGCAAAATGAGAGTAGCGGATATCATGTAATTTATTTTAAATTTAATCAGCCATCTAACTCAAAATGTATGAGTTAGATTAAAGTATATTAATATTTCTATTGATTATTATGCCATCTTTTCATAGGATGTACATAGACTTGTAAGTTCCTCAATTCTGTATAGGAAACATTAAACAATGCCATTATTATTATTATTTAAATGCAGAAATACATTTGAGGGAGACTATACTTTTGTATAAATGATATATAGACTTTAAGCAACTTCAGTGGAACTGAGAGGTGACGATGATCTAACAGACATTGAACTCAAAGATAACAGCTTGGTGGCAATGCAGGACAAAACACTGACAGCAAGTGCTGCAGTACATCTGTATGAAACTGGTGCAGCAGTAAAGATTTTGAAAGTGGACATATTTTTTGGCATCATTTAATAAATACAGAAGGTTCCCTGCTCTGTCCTGTGCAACTGCTGTGAGATATGGAAACAGAATTAAAATTTGTGTACTTTCATTCTGGACAGGTGGCATCTTTAAAAAGATTACACTAAAAATTAATGGGAACAACATTTTTTTTATACAAATCATTAATTTTGGTTCATTGCACACACAACCTGTTAGGGCTCCTTGCATCCCCACCCACTTAGATCCTGCAAATGTTATCTGTGCTAAGAGAGTGATCTGAACAGACTTGATTTTTAGGAACTGTTTTTATTCCAGCCCATCAAAGTTAATAGAATAACTGCTACATCATCCTGTGCTAAAATAGTTACAAATCCTGCACTGAAATAGTTACACCTTTTACATGTCTTTCCATTTTTAAAATGTGAAGTTGGTGGTGGTTCTTAAAAGTAGAGCAAACACACATCACTGTTCAGTAATGAGCTGAGGCAGTTGGTGAGATCTATTTCTATTGAAATTGCTGAGGGTTTCTTTTCCAAAACAGTCATTGTTTAGGTCACAGCCTTCTTTTGTCTCTTTTCTCTCCTCCAGCCACCCCCCATTTATGCCTACCGAATTGGTTCTAAATATTCATGGGTTATCTAGATTTATAGGGTATACTAAATTAAAAATTGTTTTGTGTCATGACTGCATTTATCATATCTCCTGAGCCAGCCTAGTAACTTTTTAGGCCAAACTTACCTGTATTAGAAGCAAGTGATTCCACTTACGGATATTTGCGGAGATCGTAATTATCTGTTTGCATCATTATGGACCTGCAGTTCAGATATGCAATTTTATTTCTGGCCACCTTTAATCATTCAGAATCATTAATCATTATTACAAGTGGAGAAGTGAATGCAAACCAAATAGAATCAGGCATTTATACTCTTAGGATAGAGAATGCCTTGTCTGCATCACTTTTCTGTTAGGGGATTAAAAAAACAGAATTTTTGAGCTGTAGTCATTAAGCATTTGCCCATAACTCTGTTTTCTTCCAAGACACATTTGTACTAATCCATCAATTGGAGCTAAAATGACTTTTCATAATCATAATAACTATGAGGTGTTGGAAAAGCTCCTTTTCTTGAAGTAACCATTCTCCTTTTTTCTCTCCCTTTTTGTTTAAAGTTAAATACTTCTAAGTTCTGGAAGAATGTAAATTTATAATCAATTATATGTTTAATTTTTTTAAAGTATGTTAGAGCAATAGAAATTTTAATGATGTAAGGTCAGAAATAGGATGAGGTTGATTACTGAGGTGGTAAGCCTTTTGCTGAAGCCTGTGTAATGATTTAACAATTTAAAAAGCAGTGAACATTGTTCTTATCCTGCTACGTGAAGTCAGAAATACCTACAGACAAACTTTCTATAGGTTTGCAGAGACTGATTTGCTTCAGTAAATTTTCAGTTGGTTCATTCTGCTTCAATTCATATGTGTATTTTTATGCCATATGGAATGTGTATACAAGACATTCTGAAAGACATTGTGCCATTATCTCCCTCCTATTAGAAAAGGAAGGGTTGTCAACCTGGGAGGCAAATTTGGGGATACCATTATGTAGTACTAAACTGTCAGTCATATGTTCAACACAATAAGGAGACCCACCGTTGATGTTTGCTTCATATCCCTTTGGTTTGTACCTGTCTCCAACTATGCAAAAACATGTTTTACTCATGTAAAACAGTCACAATATTCTTGTGTCTCCAGTTTGTGAATATGTTGCTGATTTGAATTACAAATGGGGGTTCTATAAACCTGATCCAAAAGAAAATGATGAAAATCTATCCAGTGTTGTTAGATGTTTTGGGACATGTATGTTCTATTTTCTCTTAATATCGATAAAACGATTGCTTTATTTTTAGTATTGCCAAATTCAAATGTACAGCAGAATGCTGCCTTTTAAAACTATGGATAAAGTACAACATTGTGCATGAAGATAGCTTGCAAGTCGAGCATCAATTATCATCAGAACATGTCCTACTTTTCAGCAACCTACAAACGTAGTGTAATCTATATTTTAGATATTATTTAAAGTGTAGCACAGAAGTCATGTGGAATAGAGATGCACAACTTCTTTTGAAATGTTGAATTAATTTATAACAAGCCTCTAGTTGCAAATCAGCAACAAAATAGCGCTTACAGAAAAATTAGTAATGGTTTTAGATAGGGATATGTGAATACCATCCAGTGTGATTGGTTTGCACATTATTTTTGATCATTGTTGCTTTTGTTGTTGTTGTTACTATTATTATTAATTTGTTACGGCTGATCTGCCTTACACCAATTTTAATTTGTCCTTCAAGTATTTGTATGTATTATACAGTATATGTACTAACATAGAGAGAAAAACATGGACATGGGAGGAAACCAGAGGTTTTGAATTAAACTTAGCACCATCAACTATTCCTCAACCTCTAGTGCACAAGTGAAGCTCCCATCAATTTCATTCCCTCCCTTCTTCCCCCTATCCCTGTCAAGAACTATGCAATTTACTCCTACAGGTGTGCCATTCAGATTTTTTGGACTCCGGCTCCCAGTACTTTCCATTCGGAGAGTTCCACCTGATAGACTTACAACTACAGACAGGCAGATTTCAGTCACCTAGAGAGTGTCATGGCCTAGCTCTAAGATAGCTTCCTTCTTTACCAGGTAAGCCATGAAAGTTTTGAGCTAGGCCTTTTTCTGGGAGCTGCAGTCCAAAAACACCTGAATAACCCAAGGTTAAGAACCACTGACCTAGAGAGTGTCATGGCCTAGCTCTGGGCTAGCTTGCTTCTTTACCAGGTAAACCATGAAAGTTTTGAGCTAGGCATTACTCCGGGTGAATGAAATTTAAGTTTCCATAGGAGTGGTCCAGCCAGGTGGAACTTCCGGAATGAAGAATAGTGGAAGTTAGAGTCCAAGAAATCTGAATGGACATCCTTACCAGCTCCTCCCTACCATGTTCCAGACTACGGAGGAGAGACATGTACAGTCCAGGTCTGGCACAGTGGTGTAGAGGGTGCTGTGTGGTAGTTTAATTGAATTTCATTCTATTTCTTCAGTTCCATGGAAGAGAAGTCCATAAAACCCTGGAGAAAGAAAAAATGATGAACCAGGCTTGCTCGGAGGCCTGAAAACTGTGGATTGCAATTCCTCTTTAATATGTGTGGCTCTGAGAATTTAGCCCTAGAACAGAGAGAAAGGAAGCCGATGCAGATACTGAGTGCTACTTGCTTTTTTATTTCTTTCTTCAAATTAATTGAAAGTCATGCAAATAGCAGTCTAACATCCTTCCCTCTATCTACCAAGACATAAAACAGCCATTGATCAGAGACAAGGACATTTATCTGGTCAATTTGAGTTCACTTATTATTGGAGTTTTCAGGATTACTTGGGCTTTTTATTGCTTCTTGAGCTGTCAGTCTCCTGCTTCAGACTTCCTGGTGCTTTTACAGTTTTTTCCCCCTCATGTGACATGCACTGGCCCCAGCTATGCCCCACTTCTCCATTTTTCACCATTTTAAAACTCTGAAGCAAAATCAAGAGCTTTGGAGATCTTGCAGTCCAATTTAAGCACTGCTTCAGATCTTATCAATTTACTCCTAACCAGTTCAGAAATAAAATACTTTTTCTTCACTTTGTTTTCTGAATGTATTCTGAATCCAAAGTCCACCTCTCATTCTTGATTAAGTCATTGTTTTCTTTACACATATGCTTCATATTTTCACGGGGAGATTTTACTGAATAGAGCTGTAGCGATCACCCTGCTTTGGCTCAGGTAGAAGATTATTGGCATGTACCGGTGAGAGCTGTTGGGAGGCTGAGCCAGAAAGACTAGAAGGGAGGGGTGGGTCGGAGTCTAGTTAGTTCAATCAGAGACAGAGAAGAGAGAAGATAGGATTTGAGGTACGGAGACTGCCGAGAAAGTGCTTTAAACGCTATGGACCAGTATGTAAGTAGCGTGTTTTGTTTA